CAATGTATTGTGAAAATAAATGTAAATTTCAAAGTGTGAAGAAACCTGATAGGAAAGGGAACAAAAGTGGAAGTTTAGACCAAGCAATCAAAGCCAATATGAGAAAATTTTTTCATGTAGAGAATAAAAAAACCCACATGAAGTTAAAGACTCAACAGCTTTATCAAATTCAACGAACTGAAAATATTAGCAAAAAACAAGAGCTCAGCGTGTTACTGTTCTGCAGTGCTCAAGGCGAGCAGCATGTGTTCGGTGTTTAACGCTCGAGATCTAAAGATTTAACACTAAAAAAGAGAAACTACACCGCTTGACTCATTCAGAACAACAGAGGCAACCGTAAAAAGCACATCTCGTCAGGATGACAGAAAACAGCCTGTTTTGATTTTCGCTTGCACCTCGACACAAGCCACACGATTTGAATTAATACAATGAAATGAAACCGTGCCGCCCCGTTCACAAAATAAATGCGGGAATGAGTAATAAAATGAAGTCTGAGAAAAGAAAAACAGCCCTTCTTACAGGAGCTGTAATGATAAGTGGGCTAGCGTGCAGCAGAGTTGAGTTTTCACCGCTTTCCACCGTCGCTGTCCTGCCAAAACCTCTTATCTGCCCAAAACAGCCCCTTCGCTCTGGCAAAGCTTTAGCAGTTCAAATCGGGGCTAATGTCTTCCTTTTTGTATGCGAGTCCGATCACATCGCACGGATGAAGTGATTATGGAAATGTCGGGGAGGTGCTGGAAACAGCTTTTGGGGGAGAAGTGAAGAGAGCTGACACTGAGTCGCCAGCGTGGTGAGAGGAGAGCGGGGCCATTGTGTCGTCGAGTTAGGATGATAAAGGCTGTTTTGTGTGTGCGGACTGTTTTCATATTTAGGGAGACATACTGCGATTCCCCATTGTGAGGCGAGACAGGGAAAAGGAACTGGATCTTTCTCTACCCATTTATTGATCAGGTCCATTCAAAGCCCTGTGTCCATCAAACAGTGTGTCTGTATGTTTCCTTTTTGCAATGCACAATCAATGTACTTATGTAGCCAAGCATGCGATTGACATTTGTAAATGGCAGTTTAGCAATATGAACAAATATACTGACTGCTTTAATCAACCAGCATGATCATCTAACAATTTAAAGGAGCAGACCCTAAAAAATGAATTCTCTCATCATTTACTTACCATCATGCCATTTCAAACCTCTATGACTTACTTCCTTCTGTGAAACACAAAACTAGATGAAAATACAAAAAAGCATTAATGTTAAGCAGATATTTTAGCTTTAGACCTTTTAATCCATGCATCATTATATATCGAACATTTTTTATATCGTTATCGAAGAAGGTGTACCGTCGATAAATATCGATACCGTTTTATCGCCCAGGCCTAGTTCAAATATCCAAATCCTGTATAGCCTACTGGTATTCAAGCAAATGTGGTAGGCTACTGATGTCTCCCTTGGATAAACATACGTGTTTTGTTAAAAAAAGTACATTTATCCAATGTATTGTGAAAATAAATGTAAATTTCAAAGTGTGAAGAAACCTGATAGGAAAGGGAACAAAAGTGGAAGTTTAGACCAAGCAATCAAAGCCAATATGAGAAAATTTTTTCATGTAGAGAATAAAAAAACCCACATGAAGTTAAAGACTCAACAGCTTTATCAAATTTAACGACCTGAAAACATAAGCAAAAAACAATAAGAGCTCAGCGTGTTAGTCTGATATTCTGACAGAGTTCAAACTGCAGTGCTCAAGGCGAGCAGCATGTGTTTGGTGTTTAACACTCGAGATCTAAAGATTTAACACTAAAAAAGAGAAACTACACCGCTTGACTCATTCAGAACAACAGAGGCAACCGTAAAAAGCACATCTCGTCAGGATGACAGAAAACAGCCTGTTTTGATTTTCGCTTGCACCTCGACACAAGCCACACGATTTGAATTAATACAATGAAATGAAACCGTGCCGCCCCGTTCACAAAATAAATGCGGGAATGAGTAATAAAATGAAGTCTGAGAAAAGAAAAACAGCCCTTCTTACAGGAGCTGTAATGATAAGTGGGCTAGCGTGCAGCAGAGTTGAGTTTTCACCGCTTTCCACCGTCGCTGTCCTGCCAAAACCTCTTATCTGCCCAAAACAGCCCCTTCGCTCTGGCAAAGCTTTAGCAGTTCAAATCGGGGCTAATGTCTTCCTTTTTGTATGCGAGTCCGATCACATCGCACGGATGAAGTGATTATGGAAATGTCGGGGAGGTGCTGGAAACAGCTTTTGGGGGAGAAGTGAAGAGAGCTGACACTGAGTCGCCAGCGTGGTGAGAGGAGAGCGGGGCCATTGTGTCGTCGAGTTAGGATGATAAAGGCTGTTTTGTGTGTGCGGACTGTTTTCATATTTAGGGAGACATACTGCGATTCCCCATTGTGAGGCGAGACAGGGAAAAGGAACTGGATCTTTCTCTACCCATTTATTGATCAGGTCCATTCAAAGCCCTGTGTCCATCAAACAGTGTGCCTGTATGTTTCCTTTTTGCAACGCACAATCGATGCACTCATGGAGCCAAGCATGTGATTGACATTTGTAAATGGCAGTTTAGCAATATGAACAAATATACTGACTGCTTTAATCAACCAGCATGATCATCTAACAATTTAAAGGAGCAGACCCTAAAAAATGAATTCTCTCATCATTTACTTACCATCATGCCATTTCAAACCTCTATGACTTACTTCCTTCTGTGAAACACAAAACTAGATGAAAATACAAAAAAGCATTAATGTTAAGCAGATATTTTAGCTTTAGACCTTTTAATCCATGCATCATTATTGTAGTCCATATGGCTTATTCCAGTTTTTTGAGGCCCATATGGAAATGTAATACTGTATATGACATATATCGGCCTATATCAAGAGTGGCATTGCCATTTATACGTAACATAACATACAAACATTTATAATTTGTATAAAATCCCCATGGTAAAGCCTCTATATGCACGTATGTTAATAATATCCATTTGATACTTTTTTAATGTGGTGTTGGTTGCTACATTAATATATTAATATATGCACAAATGTGTTTATATATGTTTTTGTATTTTTTTAAATACATGTATATCTTTTATATTTACTCATATATAACATCAACATGTATTGATGGGTTTTAGGATGGATATACATGTATATGACATATGTTTCCAAAAATCTCTTTGGATACACATTTGTATCTAAAAATTTGTTTCGGTTAGATATTTATATTAATAAATTAAATTGTTTCAATTTCTGACAAGTTTCATATATGTTTTTACTTCTTATGACATATTTTGTATATGGAAATTTGATATTTGTACATATATTTGCATATGGGGAACACAATGAAATTGAAGCTTTTATTAAATTACAATCTTTAAATATTATTCATGAATATTTAGCTATGATGACACACGTGAGTACCAATTCTAAAACATAAATAACTTGTTCAGGCAATATTTGAATATACAGTATGCAAACACAATTTTGCACATATTCTGCTTTTTTTTTGAGGGATTTTCAGTCTTTCAGTCAAGAAATTTGACAAATTTCAGTATGTTCCTCATACAAACCTATCAGATGGCTTCAGAAGACTTGAAATATAGCGCATACGGACTGCGAGAAGGTTCTGGATAATTTTCCATGAAAGAAAAATGAAAAATAATGACAGAATTTTCATTTTTGGGTGAAATATGCCTTGAAACGAGTTTATGAACACAGCAAATGGATTTTTGAATAATTGAACATGATAGGACTTGCTAAAATCACATTTCTGATTCTAACATATTTGACATGCTAAGACGAAGCATTTCTGATTCTGACCATCAGGACCTACTGTACCTTCAAAGCAGACGTGATAGATAACACTGACGAAACACACAGAGATGCAGTTTGAAATGAGCTTTTCATGAATAATCAGCGTCATTATTTCACATTTCGCAGTAAGATATTCAAGCTGAAAATGCTGATAAATTTGCCCGATGTTATCCTAATTGCTTGCGGTTTTGGGGGAATGGCTTTCGAAATGAAGGATTAGGAAAATGCAATTTCAGAAAGCACGCCAGTGTGACACATGATGGAGGAGTGCTGCGGAGGTAAATGAGTCACATGGGTGACATGGAACAACAGCACAAAGCCGCTGGTCTAGTTCTGAGTCTTGGTTTATTCACAATATGACCCAAATTTAATCCCAGTGCAAAAGGTCAGTGCTGAGCATATGCTGAAAATACAAACAAAGAGAACAATGGTTTGGGTCATACAGTAATAAACAATGAATATGTTGCTATTTTTTTAAAAGTATATTACTAATTTGATTTGCTTAAAGGGATTGTTAACCGAGAAATTAAGATTCTGTCATCATTTACTCACCCTCATGTCTTTCTTTCAACTGTGGAACAAACATCAGATAAGATGGGGGGGGGAAAACACTTTAAATTCATAGATCATATAAATTGTGCGTTATATTTAAAATCTTCTAAAGTCATATGACGAAAAAGACTGAAATTTAAGTAATTCACAAAACAATCTGATAGTAAAGAAATGTATAGCCTAATGTTTCAAAAGATGAATATTTCCAAAATAAATAAATACTTTCGAATTTTCTATTTATCAAAGATCCTGAAAAAATGCATCATAGTTTTCACAAAAATATTAAGCAGCGCAACTGTTTTCAACAATGATAATAATAAACATTTCTTGAGCAGCAGTTTAGCATATTAGAATGATTTCTGAAGGATCATGTGACGCTGAAGACTGGAGCCGAGAAATTAGATTTTAAAATATATTACATTAGAAAACAGTTGTATTAAATTATAACAATATTTCACAATATCACTGTTTTTACTGTATTTTTAATCAAATCATTCACCAAATCAGCCCTGGTGAGCATAAAACAAGAAACTTCTTTTAAACTTTAAAATCTTACTGACAACAAAGTTTTAATCGGTCGTGTAAGAATAATCAAATGTTGATCTGTTCCATAACACAAAGCAGTTTTATTGTTCAAAAGATTTGTATAATAGTGCATTAGTCATATGGACAATTTTTATGTTACTTTAATGGTGCTTTTCCCCCTCCTTTCAAGCTTGACAAATGTATCCTCTTTCACTTTCATTGTACAGAAAAGAGCAGCATAAACATTTTCCTTAATATCTGTTTTAAGTCATGCAGTGCAATTTTCATTTTCAGGGTGAACCAACTCGCGCACTGACGTTCACATCTGAAGAAACTATATAATTTCCCCTTTCCCTATAGGTTATTAATCATGCAAAATTTTCCAATCACAAAAGACGTTCAGTAGACAGTGCCGTCTTCCTCTCTCCCCGACAAATCCTAGTGAGTATTAATGCTTTTAAGTGAACAAAAATGGATTGCGCTCTCAAATCAATGTTCAAGTGACAAATGAAACCCCAGAAAATATGAAAAGAGGAATGGGGAAAAAAAAAGCAGAGAGGGGGAGCAAGTGAGAAACTGTAGCTGGGAAGAACTGTGAAACCGTGACCTATTCAAAGGGATAATTTGCAAAGATCTGTCATGTCTTGATGGAAAAGCTAAGCACATTAATTTAAGACGCCCCTATTTTTTTCCTTGCTGTGGTTTAAGGAGAGAAAGAGAGAGAGAGAGAGCGAGAGAGAGAGAGAGAGAGAGAGAGAGAGACGTAGAGTAGGGGATTTGCCATAGTCAGGGATTACGTGCGAGAGCCTTTGATGGTTTCAATTATTACCCAGAGTTTGCACACTCAGAGGAGGGCGACATCAAAGGGTGTGGGCGATTAGCACACTCTGAACTTCCAGGCGGACGGGTGCTCATCTTTAAGGTGACACCAAACATATTGTTGGCAGTCCGATCCAGATTCAGACATGTCAGGACGCAGCTACTAGGTTAATTAGACCTGCGACCTTTGGCGACGACGACTGGCACGCTGAAGTGGTCTTGGCAGACACACCTTGATCCAGAGTCTCACGCGGCCGAGACTCTTATGTAAACACTGATGAGCTGCAGCTGGAAACGTAAGGGGATTTTGCACACACAAAGTCAGGTCGGGCCAGAGGAGGTGCTGGCCAATGAAAAACAGCGTAAAATGGATGAAACAGCAGCTTGGATTTTTCGGATTCATCACATACAATGATGCCGACTGTCCGGACGTCAACCGCAACATAACAATGGAGAATTTAAATGGCCACATTTCAATAGACTATTGAGTTACGAGATCAATTTGTAGGCTGTTTCTTCAAGGTTTCATTTACAAATTACAGTGTCAAATGAACATTTTGAAACTATATTGCCACATAACGGCTGTCTGATTCATTAAGCACATAAAACTCAAATCCTTGTGGTAATTGCAGTCTTTATTTAGAAACTTGTTAGCAACTGTTTCAAAGTCCATGTTTGAAGTGTGTAATTTATTCCAAAAAAACATTGAAAGAAGAGCTAATTCTTTTCTGGATTATAGTATGAGTCACAGAAATATTACACAGCATAGCATTTTTTTATAATCAAATGGAATAAATGCAATAAATAATGACAGTTCTTTATGGAACCATCAACACCACTAAAGAAACTTTTATTTTTGTTAGCGTTTACTAGTATTCTGTTCTGATTTTCAGCCAGTCACTGTGTTCAATAATGTATCTCACAATGCAGTGCTCTTAACTTGACTTTTCATTTCCACCATAACAGATGTACTGAAATGATCAAATTGTGATTTTTTTTTGTGATCTAATTGTTTTGATTTTTGATAAGAATTTTACACAAACTATAAAATAACCATTTTAATTTACTGAGGTGACAAGAGAACAACATAGCATACTACTGTTTGAAATGGTTTTCATAATGCACACTCTTTAGGCTGTATTCAGTGTATACTGCACAGTAAACAGTATGGAGTATTCCTTTCTGAAACCAGCCATAATTAGTACTCATTAATCAGCCGCTTTTAAACTTACAGTACATTTACTACAGGGACAACCCCCCTGGAGTAACCTGATGTTAAGTGCCTCGCACAACTGTTAAAGCTCATGAGCTTTGCAGGGTTTTAATGACTTCACCACACCAGCCCAAAGAAGTACCACTATCAAAGCTTCTGATATTGCAATAACACCAATTAAGCCATTTATAAAGTGGCTTAAAAATGATCAGCCAACCAAAAGCAGCCAGCAGGAAATATCACCACATCTCCAACTCCAAACACAGCAAGTACAACACAATTCATCAAACAGGAAGACATTTGGTGGATAGGCCAATTATACCCTTACTCTCTGATAAATGGTTTTATTTTCCTGCGTCATTTAAAGACCGCGTGTGCTAATGTTTTATACCGTCCTACGGTTATATTCTGCCCTTTTCCTTATTACGCTGAAGGCCGTGCGAGGGACTGGACACTTACTGGAAGGTACATTAACTAAGTGCGCAGAGATAATGATTTTTTCCTACTGCCCTACATGAAGACATTAATTGATAAATGAGAGCTATCTCTTTAGCAATTTTATGCTTTCAGCACTGAGCTTATTGGAGCACAAATATACTCCATGATATTTATCATTTAGTATTAAAATGACAAAATAATTCATCACTGGACCTCATTACAGAAATGGGAAAAACATGAAACAGTAGGATGAAATCCTGATGACCACGTTTACCAGGGTTGAAAATGACAAAAATGGCATTGTAGAGAGCATACAGTGGACCTTAATTCAAAAAACTGTTTGCAAAACAGTTACATTCTTATGTAAATTGTCACATTAAACTCAAAGTCACGATTTACATAAGAACGGTCTTATAAAGAATCTTTACAGAAATTCTACCCGCATTTCCTGAATAACTTCCATCGTGACCCTGCAGCGAAGGACATACAAAGAAAAAACGATTTTCAGAGCCTCTGCACTTTTGCCAAGATTTTAAATCGTAGTAGCTCTCACAGTTTATCCAGTTAAATAAGACACACATATAGATTTAGACTTTAGACAGAGTAGATGCCATATTTCATTGAACAATAACAAAGAAAAGGCTTCAAGTGACAAAAGTTCAGTTTGTTCAATATGGGTTTCAGTTAGTCAGTCAATGCACACTAAAGTCAATCTAGCACATAATTTTGTACTACGACAACTAGTGATACACCGAAATTTTGCCAACCAAAAATATTCGGCTGAATTGAATTTTTCTTTCAACCGAAATCATTTTGGAGGGCCGAAATCAGTTGCATCTGACAGCTCTGTCAGATTGCACTCTGTCAGCTTCTATTTTCCACACAAAATTTGGAAAAGCTACAACAGGTAAATATGTCAGCAACGTGGACACACTTCACCAATGCCAACAATTCTGCTGGAGACGTAATATGTAAAATTTGTTTGGCTGAAATATTGACATCTTTACTTTGACAGATCTATTCACAGAAAGACTTTACTTTGACTAGTTTATCTTCTGTGAACATGACACCTGAACAGCATACTAAGTTAAATTATCCAAATTTAATGATATTTTTTGGTAAATTTAATGTCAGCTTTGATGTTTAAGTAAAAAATTAATTGCTGCAGTGTGCATCACTAACCCACACAACATATTCTTATGCTATGCTCTTACTCTACATACTCCACATGACACTATACAATAATCTTACCAGCCTGAGAAACTTCAGACTCTGCAAAAGTCTGCATGAATTATCTTTAAATTCAAGCCGGGTTAGCTGGATCGTAGAGGCATTCACACTAATTTCAAGGTGCAACCTTCATTTATTTTGTGGCTGTGGGCCAGTGGATCTGCGGGGACGGTCGGGGTCCTTCAACAGCACCTGTAGTTGCGTTGATACTTAGCTTAAGGAGCACGCGGGGGAGAGATTTGGCAATGGCTTCTTTCAGGCTACGGTTCATTGACTCCACCATAGCAGAACTTGGAGGGCGATAAGAGCGTCATAGTCCTGCAGGACCCCAGTGCTGCTCTCTCAACTGCATCCAGTGTTTAAGAAACCCTCGTGCTCGCTTACTAATGCCAGGATTTAGAGGTCAAGGCACCATCACTATTGTTACTGTATTTAAAGCTAAGCTCTTGTTCTTAATATCTGAAAATAATATGCATGCAGGGTCGCTTAGAACAAATACCCAAGTGATAATGCATTTGCTTTCTAAAGACTAAACATTTGCTTGTCTGTTGCAATAATAATTTAGCCAGGGGTGTAGAATCTATTTTAAAAGTTTGAGGGACACATTAAGTACACTAACTACGGTTACTAGGGTAGAAGCAAAGTTTTGAATTTAACTTTTTAAGAACTGCACAAATAAAATTAATACCTAACTTGCTTAATATTAATACTTAATAGGCCTAGTGTTCATACAGAACAAACCCACTTATGTATCTCAGTTTATTTTACTGAATTAAACAGGCTGGGCTGGGGCACATATTCGACTACAAAACAGGTTTAAAATACTCATCAAGTTTAGTCAATATACACATGTAGGCTACTGAAATTGATTTATGTACAAATATATCAATACATAACAATTCAAGTTGGGTTGATAGCCTACTGGATTTTGCTGACACGATAATAACGTGTTTAAAGAAAGGCAATAAATACATTAATTAATTATCAGGACTTACAAGTGTGCTGTTTTAACGGAACGTAGTGGACAACTAGTCGTGCATCGTGTTTTAAAATGCACTGCACACGCGCCTTTCGTGTTTTCAGTGTGTGGGTTCGGTAACTTACAGTGACGGGGATAAAAAATGTGTCATCTGACGGTTTTAGATCCAACGAGGTCATTCACGTTAAGTTCTGTCTTTTGAATGAAAAGCATTTTTAGAATTACACCTAATATTAGATTGTTATTTGAAACTATTTTTAGCCTATATTTGTATAGCTCCCAATCCCAAACTCTTGACCATTTTAAACATATACTGAGGTAGGTTGATACATAGGCTACATCTTTACAATCTTCAACAAAGTTCACCAATTCTCAAGGCCAGTTGACACCAAGAACCAAGATAACTAAAATGATAAAGTATTAGCATCCACACCAACCTTAGTCAAGGTAGTGCCATATTTAGTGTTTGACAGGAACGAAAACAAAATGTGAGGGAAAAAATTACAGCGTGTTCACTGGTTTGTACTGTAGCTTAAAGGGGTCATATGATGTGATTTCAAGTTTTCCTTTCTCTTTGGAGTGTTAGAAGCTGATTGTGCATAGATAAGATCCCTGAAGTTGCAAAGACTAAAGTCTCAAAACCAAAGAGATATTCTTTATCAAAGTTAAGACTCTGCCACGCCCCCCTAAAACGGCTCGTTCTAACATGCCCCCACATATCTACCTCACTATGTGGAAATATTTGCATAATGCGCCCAAATGTGCACGCAAAGAATGTGTTTTTTGAACATTAAAGCATGTCAACATATTCTGTTACACCAAATACACCAAATAATGATCTTTAAAAAAGCATCATATGACCCCTTTAAAAACATGCAGTTGTTTAGCTCACAAAACATCTTTCCAAAAAGAAACTTTCAGTAGAAAAACTAGAGAAAACAGATGAAAGTTCATAGTTAGCTTATAGCTAGCAACAGCAATAAGGTCACAGGTTACTAAATACAATTGTTGCATAATAAAATAGTCTGGCAGAGAGCATGCATGTAAAAACTAGGTGGACAAACAGAACTGTTATACACAGTAAGTCAATGTTGAAGTCTATTTTTACGATTGCTACACCCCTGCCTTTGACACAGCATTTGTAGCCTATATTCAGTTAGCCTTGCATCTGAAAAAAGGTTGATTGACTGTAGGGTTTGTGTGAGCAGTGGAATGCTTCCCTGCATGACCTGAATGGAAATATTTCACAGAGACATTCATGGCACTCACACAAAATGTCACTCTTTCATTTCCCCTTTCTGCAATTTACAATAATTGTTTATGAAGCTCATTTTATGAATTAGGCAGGAATGCCTTTGATGCCGGGCAGAATGCGCTGCTCTTATTAAGATTGAGCGAGAATGCCTGTGACAAGCGACTTTTTTAATTACCTAATTGGATGCAACTGTCCTAATTGTAATATGAGTAGGCAAATCTGTCATCAGACATGATTCGCTGGCTGGACACCATTTTGGGGCATCTGTTCTCCTTTTGCTGTTCATAAACAATGTTATTTATAAAAGTAAATAGGCATTCACATTGACAGATATTTGCAGTGACCCGATATTATGTATTTTGAACAAGAGTTTGCAGTGTCATGAGTGTCGTTGTTGATGCATCAAAGTTGAGAATTGGTTAACCTTATGCAAATCGATACCGTGGCAGGAAATGAACGCCTACGGGAAAACCAACAACACTTTTAAATGGTGCCATTGTGCTGATACATGTAATCTGGATTATGTAATCAGATTCCAAAAATTAAGTATACTTGTAATTAGAGTACATTACATTTTAAATGCTCATAATCAGATTACAGTTACTTTTTATGGATTACATTATTACATATTATTCACCCAATGGCAGTAAATTATTTATAATTTATTGATTCTCCCTAATTCCCTTATTTCTCTTTTAAATTTTACTTTCTAAAAATCCTACTGTGTCATACCATTTAGCTGTGACTATATTCATGAATGCTTCTGAATTTGGAGGTAAAAGCACCAGTTAAGCAATTAGACCATGTATGAAACAAATAATTATAATGAAATATTGCTGTGAAACTGTCGTTATCATATGACCTACAGTAACTGTTGATTCTTGAAGTCTGGACAAAAATATTTCAAACGTGGAAGACTTCGGGCATGTAATGTCATGCATTTTATGATGTTGATATCAAAAAATGTGAATATATTTTCTTTTTATATCCATATGTTTAACGTTAAATTTAAAACAAGTTTGATAAAAAAGTAATCTAAAAAGTAGTCAGAATACAATACATAAAATGAGTAACCTAGATTACATTACTAACTACAATTTTTATCATGTAATCTGTAATCAGTAACAGACTACAATTTGTAAGTAATCTACCCAGCACTAAATATACAGTATATATTCCCCACAAAAAATAAAGTTTATGGTCGGCATAGCTTGCACACCTTAAATATACACCTATTTCTCCCAACGAGAGGTCTTTAGTTGCATTTTGACCATATGAAATTAAACCTTAAATCTACCCAGTTGAATATTATTTTGTAAATGTAACCATTTAATTGAAAATCTACTTTAAAACTTGTGTAACGTTACCCCCATTATAAGGGTGGGCCATCATTAATCACAAAATCAATGGAGTAAGAATCAGGATGAGACGGGAGAGAGAGAGACATGGAGACAGGCAAGAGAAACTCAAGCTAAATCAATGAAATGCAAAATATTTGAAATGGCTGAGCAGCAAAAGGTTGGCCAAGAGATGTTACTGGAAGAGGGGCAGGCAGATTTTAATTTTCCAAAGTGGTTCCAAAGCAGTGTCTGACGCCTCCGGATTGGGATTAAATTGGACGTCCGATGATGGAGTGCTATGGTGAAGAGTCCCTGACCCCTACTATCCTGACAGGTCTGTACGGTTTGAAATCTCACTCTGAATAAATGGAGGGGACACAAAGTGCAGAGGATCCATTTGAAATGTGCCCTTGGAAAAAGTCCACCCACCCGTCCTGAACGCACAGCGTACGAAAGCGGACATTTTTATAGAGATGAACCTCTTGTGCTTTCAAGATTATAAATGGGGTCATGATTTCTCCTCTTGGTCACTTCAGCTGCTTCGATCACATCGTTGGGAGTGTTTTATAAATAATTAATCAACATTATACCTACTTCTGTGGGCTCTGATGATGTGCTCTTGAACATTTAGACACAGAAGGTACTGCAAAGAGGCCTGGGCTCTAGTTTTGTCAGAATATTCACCTGAATGAGAGCTAAACTGGATGTTTGATGACAAATTCAGTTATACTATTCAAAAGTTAGGGCCAGTTAAGATTTGTTATAAAGAAATGAATAGTTTTATTCAGCAAGGCTGTAGTAAATTGATCAAAAGTGACAGTAAAGATATTTATTATGCTACAAAATATTTATATTTCAAAGAAAGAATCCTTAAAAAAGGTTTAGGAGTCGGTTTTCAACACTGATAATAAATAATGTTATTATTTTCAGTCATGTGACACTTAAGACTGGAGTAATACCTGCTGAAAATTAATCTTTGCATCAAAGGGATAAATTACCTTTTCAAATTTATTCAAATAGAAAACATAATTTGTAATAATATTTCACAACATTGTTTTTAATCAAAAAAAATGCAGCATTGGTGAACATGGTGAACTGGAGAGACTTCAAAAACATAAAAAAAAAAATATATATTAATCATACTGACCCCAAACATTTTAACTTCATTATTTTAGGAATCATGCTCATAAGAAAAAAAAAATCATAAGGTTTCTTTAATATCTCAGTTTTTTTTTATCCACCAGTGACATCATGTGTCTTCTGTATTATTCAATGAAATTTGAACTGTTTTGTGTTCCTTATTTCTTTATAAAACCGAAACATAATGAAATTACACACGTTTTTTAATGGCCTGTTCCCCGAAAATGAGGTTGTTCGGTTATTTCAATTCTATTCTTAAGTTTAAGACTTTGAGTTAGAGGTTTTTTTCAAATCCCTAACCATGAGGTATAATGTAATCAGGCTTACCTTGGTAAACACTACTAACTACTGAAATGACTCCATAATGAAGAACGTCAGTGCTTTGGTGCCTTCATGTCTTCACTGCCTGATTTGCATGCTGTAGGTATGTGTTTATGAGACAAAGTGTGTCATGCTGCAGTTGTGTAGTCATGCGACGCAGGAACACATTTCATGTCCCCTCAGAATTGTGAGAGCTGGGTTAATGAGCCCCCCCATCAGTATGCATTATTTATTTAGACGCTCTGCACCCCAGAGGCGGCCTGCCTTTTGCCTGTGCGCTTTTTTTCATCCTCTCTCTATTTCTGTAATCCTTCTTTTTTGTTCGCGGGAGCAGCTCTCTCTGTTTATCCCCTTCAGACGTTGCACCTTCTCGGCGGCATAAATATTCCACTATTGCTGCTGTGTCTTTCCAAAATATCAGCCGGCTAAAAAAAAGGGGGAGATGCCACAGATTTGCAAACAAATCATGGAACATGTTCACAGCAGATTGAACAGACAGATTGACGTCTTTCACAAACAGGGGACGTCGCTGGTCATCGCATTGGTGGAATAATTGCATGTAATTCCTGCTTCCAAGAACAAACGACATGTTCCGGCTAATTCATCCAAGCTGGAGTTTTACTGAAATTACTCATGAAATAACTTTACCGAGAGCAGTCATTATGCCATAAGGACCGCCATTCAGAGCGCTATACAGTAATTTGACGTTACTTTAAACAGCAGCAGCCTTGCGTTCTCTCTAAAGGAGAGCGGGCAAAGACATCGAGAGTGCAGTTCAGCTCAACGAGATCCATCATAGTCAACTGATAAAAGTCTGTGTTTTATCTCTCCAGGGTTGAAGACTGTAGATGTTAGCTTGACCCGACTCTCAAAAATCTCTCCTTCCACCCAAAATAAGAGCTGGCTAAGCTAAGAACATGTAAATTAGTGTATGAATATGTATAGAGTGTTACCTGTCATTTTGTAATTACCTCAAGACTGAAGTCTCTGTCTGATCTGCTTCAGATCCTACCTGGTGGTTAAACGACTTTGATCTAATCAGTCCTAATTAATGGAGACGCAAACAAGACAACTTTAAGGCAGGTTCGTTAGCATGCATCGTGAAAGGTTACACGCCTAGGACAAGCTATGTTCATCCGTGGTGAAGGTACGGTGATTTGCCATTACAAAGTGACCAGCAGTCTTTCATTTTTTTCAATAAGTGTTGGAGATTTGAGTTTAACTTTGTGCAAATTATTGTTTTGTATTTCTGTCATAATGTTCTGGGTAGTTCCGCTCACAGTGAAGTCTAAAATCCCATTTTACCTACCTGAAAATTAAACATATGGACAAATGTTAAATACTAATAAAATGTTTAAATGTCATAGTATTATTAATCACATTCATTTATAGACTGCCTGGAATATAGCCTATTACCACACCGCAGGACCTTTTAAAATGAGGTAGTGACGGTGGTTCAAGATTTACAATCTTTTGCTAATTGATATTATTTTTAACAAAAAACCTTGCTTTTTCAAAATTGTAATTAAGATGATTTTTTTTTCCTTTTGAAAGAAGTCTCTTATGCACACAAGGCTTAATTTATTTGGCAAACACAACAAAACAGAATTATTGTGAAATATTAAAAATTTTAAATAACTGTTTTCTATTTGAATGAAAATATAATTTATTCCTGTGATGCAAAGCTGAATTTTCAGCAGTCACTTTCAGTGTCACACAGTCCTTCAGTAATCATTATAATATGCTGATTTATTATCAGTGCTGGAAACTGTTGTGCTGCTTAATGTTTTTTTGGAACCTGTGATACTGTGATGAAAAATCACAAATATTTCCAAAAATATTTTTGTGAAAACCATGTTTTTTTTTGAACGATTCTCTGATGAATAGAAAGTTCAAAAGAACAGCATTTATTGTATAAAATGCAATTCTTTTGTAACAATTGTTTTACTCTCATTTTAGAACAATTTAAAGGGTTAGTTCACCCAAAAATGAAAATTCTGTCATTAATTACTCACCCTCATGTCGTTTCAAACCCGTAAGACCTTCGTTCATCTTCGGAACACAAATTAAGATATTTTTGATGGAATCTGAGAGCTGTCTGACCCTGCATAGACAGCAACACAACTGAAATGTTCCCAAGTCCAGAGACGTAGCAAGGAGATCGGTAAAATACTCCATGTGACATCAGGGGTTCAACCGCAATTATACGAAGCTACGAGAATACTTTTTGTGCACAAAAGAAAAAACCCCCCGACTTTATTCAACAATTCGTCTCCTGTTAAATCACCCTGGTGCCATTTTGGAGAATATCCGTTGGACGTAAAGAACGTATGCTGTTCTGTGTCAGCTGCGTCACGCCGGATCTGTTTCCTTTACGTCCAGCGGATATTCTCCAAAATGGCACCAGGGTGATGCCGAGGAGATGAATTGTTGAATAAAGTCGTTTTTTTCTTTTCTTTTGCGCACAAAATTATTCTCGTAGCTTCGTATAATTGCGGATGAAACACTGATGTCACATGGATTATTTTACCGATCTCCTTGCTACGTTTCTGGACTTGGGAACATTTCAGTTGCGTTGCTATCTATGCAGGGTCAGACAGCTCTCAGATTCCATCAAAAATATCTTAATTTGTGTTCCGAAGATGAACGAAGGTCTTACGGGTTTGAAACGACATGAGGGTGAGTAATTAATGACAGAATTTTCATTTTTGCGTGAACTAACCCTTTAATGTGTCCTTGCATAATACAAGTATTAATAAAATCCTACCACAAACTTTTAAATGATAGTGTATCATGGTTTTCACAAATATAAATACATGAATATGTTCTGATTGGCTGTGATTTTGCTGCATCATGCAGCAATTTTGCTTTCATTGTGGACAGAAAAATAACTGGGAAAGTGTCATGCTGTGTCTGATTAGCACACATCGTACTGATATGTGCCATTTTCCATCTATATTCCTCTGTTCGGATATACATGTCTGCAGGTGATGGCAAACTCAATTGGGTGCAATCTAACATAACTGCCTTTCCAATTGCAAAATGGTTTGTAAGAAAATGAAACATATTCATAACAAAATAATTAGTCATATCTGTTCCTGTGTTCTTGCAGTGTACATATTCAAAAAGCTCAAACTATCGTTTATCCGAGTCCAGAAGTGCGTAGGTTTCACCGAGACACTTGTCTTTATTTGAATGAAAACATCAAGCTCTTGAGACAAAATAGTCCTTGCAGATGATTATATATACAAAAAACAATTGGAAAAAAAAAACATTCAAGAAATATACAGCATCATCCACATATCTTTTAATTAGCAAAAAAAAAAAAAACACCATGCTTGTCCTTTGAACATTAAGTTAGAATCCAATCTTTCAAAAACCTCGCACAGAGTAAAAAAAAAAGGTGCAAATATATACAAAACACTTCATTGCAGCCAGAGTTTTAGACTCTTTCTCACGACTCCCTCAAACTACTTAACGCATTAAAACGGAATTAAAGCAATAATTTAAACAAAATAAAAAAACCCCCAAAACATTTCAGTCCAATAATTATACAAAATATATTTATATATTTATATAGAATTAAGGACTAGGCATAGCAGTTGCCCATTAACCAGTCATTCAATCAACCAGTCAGCCACAAAGCTCTCCAGACACGTTAATAAACTCCATATATTTCTGAACCTGTAAACAAGTCTGTTACAATAAAATTGATTAAAACATTTGGGATAAAGAGACAAACCGACAAATAAATTAGAATTAATTCATCTGAGACAACATGTTTTTTCTTTTTCTTCTTCTTTTATAACTAGAACATTGACTGAAATGTAGTTATGGATCTAAAACAGACATTTTCTTCTACTGTATCTACTGAAAAAACACCACAGTTATTTTTCCACTCACTCCGCTCCGTTCCTCACAAGTTACAGGTGCTTTTAAGAGTATGCCGTTTCACCACACGACGAAAACAAACCGCAAAGCGCCTCATTTGGCTCTGAGTTCTGCTGTACGAAACGAAACGGGCGATTTCTGATATATGGCTATCGGCTGAGGCGTCGTTAGTGTTAGCTCTGTCTTCACCAGTCTACCTAAAAACACCCCGGTGGGCAGTTGCACTTAACGATAGTCAGAGTTATCTTACAGGCAGTATGTACGCGACCAAGCTAAGTCCACTTCCCCCACAGTACGTTTGGCTTTACTCACAGTATAGAAAATCAGATGTAAACCTGACGGCGTGGTTTCAACCAAGAGGTGCTAAATCAAAAAATTCCAACCACTGATGTTTAGTTTTCAGCTTTTTTAACGTAGATTTATGATTGCGTTTCATTTCTCAAAGTGGTTTGCTCCAGACGTCGGATATTGGGTTCGCACCTGCATTGCTGACGACGCAGCTTTGGCAAACAGGCAGTAATTCCTGATGTATCGTGTTGCAAGAGGTTGAAATGCCATAACGGATCCAGATTCATGAGCTGACCCCATTCCCCCAACAGAAAAACAAACCAATGTTCAAAAAGATTCTGCTTAATTATCATCCTGCAACTTTTTCATATGTTAATGAGCCCCACATTTAGTTCAAAACATCCTGCCTTCACAATTCCAACAACAAAAATTTGGCTTTTGATGATGAACGGGGAATCTTGTTATCCCATCCAAATCCATGTGGCGAATTTGAAGGCCGGTTTAATTACATTCAATGAGAGCTTAAAATATCCAGATACATTATGCTGTTGAAATGCACAAGTATTCAAACCATGACCCTGCGGGATGAGGTCTAGGGCTACTAAACCAAAAGTTGTTCTTTTGTAGCCAAATTAAGGCAATAACGATTAGTAGTTATTAGCAAATCCAATACCACAGGGTAAGAAAGGGCAAAATCTATCGACGTAAGATATATTCAAAGGTAAGTGATTCACTTTGATGGTCATTGAATATCTTCATTCAAACTCAACTAATAAGGCCCTGATGGATTTCCCTACTGTTTTAATGATCCCACATTACGATGGGTGTTTGTTTGCTCGAACTGACCTTGGTGAAGTAGGTTTTTTACATTTTAAAGACGATGTTGAAAGCAAATAGTTCTCCCTGTTGTCCTGGCTGTGATCGTCTGAAGGTGTTTTGTGTCTAAAACTGGAACATGTATAATGAGGCAAAGATTTTTGCAAGATATGCTCAGTTATTCATGCTGTACATTCTCTGTGATTTTACGCAACACAAAAACACAATCGATACGCAACTAGACAGAGCAGAACTCAGAACCACATACAGCAAGGAACAGAAAACAGCTGAGAGTACTTTGAAATTCACGGACGTATCACAATTCGAGTACCTGGAATATAACGGTTTGCAGTTCACCTCCGTGGCAGCAGAGGGCGACGCCACCGCCACCGTCACGGAGATGAGAAAAGTCCGATAAAGAGAAGAGGAAATGACTTAAGGCCTTGTTGTTTGTGTATACAGACAGAATCGACACAATCGTTATAATCGATCAAGCAAGAACCTTGATAAGGTTGTACGGGGGACGACTGAATAACGGACGAGATTTGTCTAGCTGCGGACTTCTGTGTCAAAAATTGCATTGGCCTGCTGAAACGGCGAGAAAACAATCAGAGTTGAACAGTCGTCCCTTCGTTGTGCTTGGCATTGTGAACACGTTTTGGCTGCCATTTGGACGGAACAACAACAGGGAAATGAAAAAGAGCGCGACTCGCCAACTGCTAACGTTGAAAATTTAGAGTCAGGACGGTGAATCTGAACACACAGGGAACTTAAACTCATGGCTTGCAGGTAAATCTGAGAGTTATTGCTCTAGATGGATCTACTACATTAAAGATGCCTGTCATCAAGGGACAAAACTCGGCCCTCGCCAACGCAGTCTTAGAGAAGAACCACAGAATCCGAGTAAACACTCCAAACCTCACAGTAACACAGCGGTATACAAAAAAAGCAAAGGGAGCAGAAATGCCCCAAGGGACGATTGCCCATCCTGGGGTACATTTCGGCAAGGGTTCGGGGAGTCATATCCGGACGCAACGAAAAGGCAAGCTTCAAAAGATGCTGATCCATACCTCTTGACAAGTAGAGGTCCATTTGGCCCCGTAATCACAAAAAAAGAACGAAAACGAGAGAAAGGCGCTTTTATAGGTCTATGGCAATTTCGAGACGAGGAGGAGAAGGTTCCTCCCATTCAGCCCAGCCTCAACACTACCCATAATGCATTTGGTCTCCATTATTGATTCATTCCGATATAAATATCTTCATTTCTGTTAATGGAGCTCGTCGCACGATTGTGATTGTTTTTGAGGCGTCTCTCGGAGGTCGATATGAAGAGCTGTTTTCAGATTACTCGCCGAATGCATTACTAAAACATGTTGCTGCTTTTCTCTCCCAGAAAGTCAGATATTTTCTTCCATGGCACTATCTTGGCAATTTGGCTTCCAAGGCAATAGCACGTGCACCTTTCCTCATTGGAATGTATCTGATCCACAGTAGTCCGTGTTGAATAGTTTGTTAGGCAGGCCGATATGAACGGCGTTCGGTCTGGGCATTAGGGAGTGCGGGCGTTTGGGCGTACAGGTTCTGGTCCAGAAAAACATTGGGCTTCGTATGCTGTGCTGTGGTTCCTTTAGAGTTGATTGTCCAGTGTTTTAGCCTCACCTTCTGCTAGCACAAGCCGTGGATGTTCTGACACGGGTCGGTCCGCCGGACTCCATCAATTCAGTCTCAACCCTCCCCCCTAACCCCCTGAACGCTTCCCCTCCCGTCCCGTCCAATCCGTCACCGCCCTCAGCTGCTGCCAGACATCAGGTTAATGGCTTGTTCCAGTTTGTGTCGTAGCTTGTGTTTGCGACAGTAACCGTCTCTGTCCAGGGCTGTCAAAATCTGAGAGGAGGAAGAGAGGGGAAGAGAGGAAGAGGCCATTAACTGAAGGCCGAACCCATGTAATAATTCAATATTCGACATCATTCTGAGCGCGAGCGGACGCTCACTGGAGCTCATAATGACAATGATAAATGACCTCATCAGATACGGCACCGCACATTCATCAAGATCAAACCGCTAATACTGAAACAACATTTGCATTTCAATTCAGATCTCATGTGCATCTTTAAACTACCGTTATGGCAGTTTGCACGACCACTACCAGGGCTTATGTTTCTCATGATCTTACAAACGTTTTGATTTAAATGCTTCCCTGAATCCCTGAAACTAGTACTGTTTAAGTTGTGCCTACTGCATATACAGTATGAATTCAAATGTTTTTTTTTTACAAAACTACTCAATTTCTACTTCATACATACATGTTATATACTTTATACACACATTATATACATACAAAAAAATCTTTTAGATTACTTTTAGATTACTTCTAGATTAAAATTTAGATGACTTTTGACATATCTCGTTTTTCACATTGATTTAAATGGGATAATCTTGTACCATATTGATATAAAAATACAAAGAGTAAGAAAATATATTCCATTTGTTGTTATTAACAACATGAAGTGCATTAAACATTATATTACATTATAAAATGTAATTTAATCTAATTACAAGTACTTAATTTTTGGAATCTGATTACATAATCCAGATTACATGTAATCAGTTACTACCCAGCTCTGTATATTACATTCACATTTTTGCTGAAATGTAATACATATATAATCACATTTTAATATTTATATTAAATATCAATATTTTCATTACTGTATGAATTTTAAATATTAAATATATATATATAAATATTTAATAAGTATACTTAAAAATATTAAATTGGGTGTTGTTGCTTATATATCTGACTGAATACTTGTTTGGTGATGCTATAACCACGTTTGAATATTTATATTAAATATAGAATTATTCTTATTATTGTATAACATTATAAATATTAAATATTTATATATACATATTTGATAAGTATACTTATTTATTTTTTTAATCTGAAATTGGGTGTTGTTGGTTTGATATCAGACTGAATACTAGTTTATTAGAGATGACGCTTATCTCACAAACTGAAAAACCAACCACTTTATACTTTAAACCCCTCCAAACACTTGACTCTTGGCATGCTAGTATGCTGATAACAGTATGCGTAAACGTGTAACGTTTAGAACGGGATGTAAAATAGAGTCCCAGGTCTCACCTCTTCCTTGTACTTGTTGATGTAGAAGTACAGTTCACTGAGCGCGCTCAGTGTGTTGAACTCGTTGCCATGGAGACGGGACTGCTCTACTAGATAGGCATCCATGTCTTGATCGCTGATACTTGGCATCTTGCTGATGTCTCGGTAATATCTTGAAAACACACACACACGCACGCACGCACGCACGCACGCACACACACACACACACACACACATACGTTAAAAATCATCTACTTCATATTGTAAATGAAGAGTTTGGAGTTAATCTACTGGAGAAAATGAAAACTAAATTGATGAATTTCAGTTTATGCTTCCTAGTAAAAGACTGTAGTGCAAATGACTAATAACTGGCACCTACTAAAGCAAGTACATTATTATTATTGCTTACATGATATATTTTAGTATCGAGACACTATTATAGTTTTTATTAATATTTTACATTTTTATTTTCTGTTTTTATTTTAGTTAAAAAAGTTTAGTAATGTTGTGTGTTTCTGTCATTTTGTGTGTCTTCATTTTTTAAAAAATATTTTTTATTAAAATTGTAGTTATTTTATTCAAGCTCAACTTGATGAAAATAAGAAATGTTGCCGCGGCATCTAGCTGAAATAAAAAAAAGTTGTATATATTAAAATTTTTAAATATATTTTATATCAGTTAAAGGTTTATTTCAAGTAGCAAAATGTTTGTTATTGTTTTAGTTTTAGTTAACTATAATAGCCCTGGGATGGTTCACAAAACAGCTGATGGTAGCCACTGACCTCCATAGTATTTTTTTTCCATACTATGGAAGTCAATGGCTACCAGCAACTGTTTGGTTACCAATACTCTTCAAAATATATTTTTTTGTGTGTTCAACAGAAGAAAGAAACTCACACAGGTTTGGAACAACTTGAAGGTGAGTAAATAATGACAGAATTGTCATTTTTGGTTGAACAAAAAATCAGTATCCTTGCAAGTTTTGAACATAAAGTACAATCTTTCAAGGTGTTTAATTACTAGGCTATACCAATCAGATCAAGTCCGTGGTATTTTGAGGCATGTGTCCGTACCTCTCCACCCAGCTCTTGTAGTTCGGGATGTCTTTAGCATAGAGGAGCTTGTTTGACGGAGAGTCTTTGCCCAGGCGATGCTCAGACGTCGAGCAGGAGTCCATGAAGGTCTGAGCCACCACTGACAGACAGGCGTCTGTAATACTGTTCTTGTGGATGTCAAAGACAAACTGAGGGTTTTTGATCACGTTGACCCAAAACCGCAGAGGAAGGCTGGTTTAGAAAGAAAGAGAGAGACACAGTACAATAAAATCTGATTATGTCCAAAAAGCTTTTTAGTGATTGTGGTCTGTCTTGAATCGCACTAAAGTACATTATTTTTCCAATTGCTCTGAGAGCGTGCTGCGTTCCCGAAACAAATGGAACTGAACTGGCAACCCAGCAGGGCTTCAAAACAATCCAAACAGATGCTGCAGAAAATGAGGTCAAAGACAGGAAGTGCTTGGTATCTCACCAGTTGCTCTTCCAGGTGTGCCGTACGTCCGGGTCGGTGATCTGTCTCTTGTCTGCTTGCTCATCCAGGAAATCAAACATGTATTTGATGGCCAGCGGGAGAGCGCTGCCGCGATGGGCCGTACTGAACACAGTCTCAAAAAGATCGTCCACAAACTTCTGCAGTGTGCCCTAAAAACATGACACATGAGAGTTTACAACATGCTTTGGGGTCACATCAGGTGTTTTGAGGCACTATTCACATTTTATTGAAAAAAAAAATGCTAATTGTGAGGTTTCAATTTATGTGTTTTAAATCTTTAATGTTATGGATGTCAAATGATTCTTTTAGTTAAATGAATGATTAAATGGATTGTTCCAACTTTTTATTAGCGGTCCGCTTTGTAATGTACAAATAGTTAACTGCTAATCTTTTTATTTTATTTTTAACGTTATTTACTCACATTATTCTTGTTCTAAAGCTATGTGCTTTTTTTTTTTTCAGTACAATACAAAATTACACATTTTTGTCATACAACGACAATTTCATAATGACCATGCCTTTTCTTTGTGTGCGAACAGACCAAATTTCAGTTATTTACTAATAATCTTCAATTCGGATGAAATTTGGCTACATTAATGTCCATTTTCAAAAATGGTACACTACCATTCAAAAGCTTGAGGTTGGTATGATTTTTTAAAATATTTTCGAAAGAAGGCTCACCAAGTATTTATTTAAAGGGGTCATATGATGCGATTTCAGGTTTTCCTTTCTCTTTGGAGTGTTACAAGCTGATTGTGCATAGATAAGATCCCTGAAGTTGCAAAGACTAAAGTCTCAAAACCAAAGAGATATTCTTTATCAAAGTTAAGACTCTGCCACGCCCCCCTAAAACGGCTCCTTCTAACACGACCCCACATATCTACGTCACAATGTGGAAATATTTGCATAATGCCGCCCAAATGTGCACGCAAAGAAAGAAGGCGTGGTTTCAGTAACCGCAGTTAGTGTTGAAGCAGCCATGTCAGTGAGACGCTGTGTGTTTCTAGGCGAAAGCAAAAGCACTTTATTTGGCCTTCCGAAAGTAGATGCATTTAGGAATCAGTTGCAATTACAACAGAACAGCAATGCATTTTATGAA